CCAACTTATTATTGCCCTCTAATTAACATTTGATGTTTCACAGTGGGCTAGCTAGCCACCGTTCTCCAAATATGTTTTTAAAGAATCAAAATTTCTGGCTATTAGAATAATCAGCTGTTCTATGCCTTTCGGGAATACGTGTCCATAGCAATACCAAACAATAAAAGTAATTTGGACGGGTGAGAGCAAGAGGAGACAGGTATTGGAATTTAGAAGAAGAAATAAACCTGAGATAAAAATTGCCCAAATAGAAGGTTACATTACATGAAACCTTTTTCACCTATTACCCTGTCCTTCTCAAAGAAAATGTAGAGATTTTTAATAATTATAAGAATCAATCCCTATGTGTGTTTTCATTTAACAAGACATGAAAATTGCATCTTCTGATAACTATTTGGTTCAGTTCCAGTTAAGAAAGATAGTAGATTAAATTTCTGATCACTGTCAGAGGGAGGGGGAGAGTCTGCTACATTATCTTTGGTAGAAAGGGTAAGAGTAGGTAAAATGACAATTTAATCATAGTGATCTTCTGTTTCATTCTGTTGACTTTAACATAAAGTACTTAATTCAATGCATGGTTAATTCAAGGCTCAATCAATATTCCCTTCAGCTCCCTTAACATCTAGTTACATCTTTGTAAAAATATTCTCACGTGTTAAACACACTGGAAATACGTAGATGAACTACATCAGCCAATAATGATGACGATCAAAGAATGCTTTAACTTCAGCATTAAGATGTAGCCAGCATACTGCATGACTAGCTTAAAAGCCTACTGCAGTTTATTTGTAAAGGATTTCTCTTTCAGGGGAAGGTGGTGAGAAAAAAAATAAAAAAAATGTACATTGTGGCTACCTAGTATTACGTTGCCCTTTAAAAAGAACCTCCACTAGTTCTGTATTCATCGTATGCTATGTAAAACTGATGTTTCTTAATAACCAAAAAGAAGTATCCATATACATTTATGTTTAGGAGCTTAGTCTTAAATACTGGTTCTACTCTCTTGAATTTACTTGAATAAATTAGCTAACAACCTCTGAAAGGACCAAAAAACAACGATAATAGCTATTCCTTCTAAGGGCACTATTGGTACCATGCCACAAGACCCTTGGTATTCATTAAATCAGCCTCCTTCACCAAATTTGGTCTCATAATAAATATAACAAGACGCTCTCAATAACTCGAGTAACTGTAAATACCTAAAATGTCAGTGACTGAATAGAGGAAAATTCAATTCTCTAAAATGTACATTCTAATTGAACTCTTGGAAATTCTGCCATGGCAATTACAAGCCGAAAGATTTTTATGAGGAGCTTAAAGCAGGGAAGCATAAAATACTTTTCCTTAGGAAAATTAATAAATAAAATTTCATCAGGTGAGCGAAAACAGGCAAAACAATCATAACCTGTATAAACTGTGCTTGTCTTTGTAGTATATCACGTGCTTATATAAAACTTTCCTATTTTTATACCTTTAAAGATCAACTTCTACCATAAGTTAAAAATAATCCATTATTTATAATTCTTAAAAAACCAGTTATCAAGCTGGGCAGTCGATTATTGTGTACACTGGATCTCTTTTCAGGGACACAGGTTAATTGCTATAAATTCTTTTAAGAAATTCTTCGATTTTTCTCCTTTCAACGTCTCCTTCGATTATATCTATATCTTTCCTATTCCTTGGCAGTCAAAAGCCAGACTACCCAGGATGCTGGGCATCCTCTTAGCTTTCTTCGCTACACATTAGAGCCAGGAATGAGGGAAAGGACGGACGAGGAGGGGGACGGGGACATGAGAGATACAGAAAGAAGAAAGAAGAATCTTGACTATTACCTCTTTTGGCTTTATTTTCTTTTCGCTTCACTGTATTATATTTCTTTTTTTGACCCACTCCGATTTTCCTATGTAGTACAGCCACATCTGAAAAATCTTACAATTCATAGGCAGATTTAGTTAACGAAAATAGCATGAGCCAAACGATCAGGTAGATTCGCCACCCGAAGGCAGGGGGGATTTATAGGTAGCAACAATCTTTTCATTGTTCGCCAATCACTTTTAGGAGTTTCAAATGAGTAACCCTGAGGCTGAGGAAGCCAGTTGTGTCTGGCTCTCAGGATATGAACTGTTTTCTCATTACATTCTATCAGACTGACCACTCTCAAAATACATATACTGTATCTTACAGATGGTGAAAAGGGTGGGAAGGATGGTATAGACAGAATTAGCTCACAAGATTCACACTATAAAGTATACTGACTCCATTTTCTCGAATCTTCACACCTGCACATCACTCAAGGATACATGCTGAGACATAAAATTGTGCAAGATCAGCATCAGCTTTCTATTTTAAAAGCCTTAATAAAAAAAAAAAACGTAGATAGGTCACTGCAGTTTCTTTAAAGGAATATTCAGTACTATGGTACTCCTTTAAAAGATTCACAAACTCAGTGTTAAGACACAGTGGGGTAATGCTGCTTGACAATTACTCTAACATTACTGAGAGCATCCAGTACCAGCTATGGATATCAACAATAAGGAAGAACACTGACAACATAAAGAATAATCTCTAAGGTGATGTCACCAACCTTAACAAATTTGTTAATAATATTCGACTACAACATATTCACCCTTGCTTCACGGTCACATGAGAATTAATTCTTTTTAGGTTGCATACTAAAGAGCAGCACCTGCCCTACTGCCCACAAAAAAAGGTTGCCACGATGGATGCTCTAGAACCCCTCAATATATAGCTGAGGGGTCTTGTCCTACTCAGTGCAAATGTTTGTGATGCGTTCACTGCTTGGGCAATGGCTGCACATTAGTAGGATTAAATAAATGTAAAAGTACTCCCTTAAAATGCTAAAGGGGTACTTCTGCATTCAGATGTGGATACAATAAACCAGGAAATGGAGAGGGGAGAAACAGGAAATAGCTCCTTCGGTTACTGATTAAAGCAAGTTTGATACAGATATCCCCTTGTAGGCCACTCAGTGGGTAGAATGTACACCAACAAACTTTCCATCAAACATCCTTCCGTTTATAATTTCTGAGCAGCTTTGGAATCACCAGCGTTTGATACTCCACAAAGACTGTCCTCTGCAGATTTTCCTTTGGAACAAGTAGAGATACACTGGGTCCATATTTTGACACTCCTCTTTTACACCTTGTACAACATCTTCATATTCTTCTTCATTCTCAGTAATCATCATCCAACACATTCAGCAGTCTTAGCACTGGAGTAGGGAAGCATCACCAGATCTTCAATGTGAGGCAAAAGGAATGCTAAAGGAATGTCTGACAATGCCATTTCAGCAGGAATTCTCTTTTTGCCCTTGGTCATCATGAAGCATGCTTGTTCATAAGCTCTCTTAGCGTGGATAGGCTTGGAATTGCGGCTTGCACACTGCTTACTGGCAAATAGTGTGATCATAATAGCAGAACTGTTTGCCCTTGCATCTCGCTGGGAGATGCTACTGATGTTCAGTTTCGATTCCTGAGACATTTCCGTAAATGACTCCTCAGCTCAAGATCAACAGCTGAGGGGTCACATTCTGTACACTCCGTGCAGGCCAGCCTGGGGCCAAGCAATTTGCAAGTTCTGCTTGGTGGAGCCCGATACCCTGTCTGTCTGAATATACTTTTCATCCTCGATTGCCTTGCTTTGAAGCTAGTCCAAAGTCAATGAGTTAAGAACATTCATTCTCTGCACTCCACAAGCTATGTTACTGGGTTTGATCTGATCTGCCATGGGACAAACCCTCATGATGAAGAAAAGCAAGGGCCTCCAGAACGTCTCTGGCACAATGCTGTATCATCCGCATGGAACAACCCTGGTGACTAGAATATAAAAGCAATTCCGAAACACTGACACCCAGGAGTTCAAGCAACAGACATCGTGATGGCACATTTGGAGAGAAGTGGATTGTAAAGACTCCATACGAAGTCACGATGTTCCTGTGACCCTGCAACTGCTCCAGCACCGCCATCTCTTTGCGGAAACCATACTGGGCGGCCGAGGCTGCAGACCCGGTGGTTCCTGGCTGCAAGAACTGCTTGAGAGCGCTGGGGGGCGAGCCGGGGTTGCCGCAGCAGCAGCAGCGCACCCGATACACCGAGGCCAAGGAGCCGCTGCCCAGGTGGCTCTATACCTGCCACAGCCACCCAAAGGCCTCCAGAAACCGCGAGGGCTCCGCGCCCCAGGTGCACCCGGATCCTGCCATCGGTGTGAACTGAGGGCACTGACACCGGGGCTGACACGACGCCCGAGGCAGGCCCGAGGCAGGCCGGCAGGGCCCGCGGTCACATCCCCGCCCACCTGACCAGCGGCTTCCCAGGGAGGGGCCTGCCTGTTTGTTTCTTTTTAAAACCCAACTTTTCAAATGTCAAGAACTGACTTTGTCTATTAGCAAGAGACAATTGAAGCAAATAAAAGAGTTTTAGCATCAGAATCTTCAATCTTACACCATGAATTTACAATAGTCTATTTGGAGGCTTAAACACCAAGATTTTACTACTTGTCCTCAGCCAGCGGCTCCTGTGGGCAGCTTGTGTAGAATGCTGTCCCCACCTTCTTTGTGGCGTTATGAAGTGAAAGGAGAAGAAGGAATTTGGGAAAGTGGGAAAGTACCAATTGCTGCATATTACCAAATATTATCCTCTTAAAAACATGCATAAAACTGCTACACCTCAAGATGCATTCAACACATAGTGGGGCAAATCTGCGTTAATTGTCTGGCTTTTTTTTTGCTGACTAAGTCTTATAGACAAATGTAGGCAAAGCAGAAGGATGAGGATGAGATTGCACTTGGCTCTCCCTTCGGTCATGTCTAGTTACTCAGAAGGCGCTGGGATCCTATTTATTTTTCTGCTACCTACGCCATGCCAGGGCTGTTGCAGGTAACAGGGCTATTAATGGATTTGCCTGACTAATAGACAAGACACTCATGTAATGAACACCTCAGATGCAACCTGTTGCCCTGAGTTCTCCAACTACATCCTCTTCTACAGCCAGAGATTCTGCTGAGCTGTCACCAGACAAACAGCACAGTTGGGCAGCTGGGCCACCCCAAGCATGGAGGTTTGTGTTCGGGGCTGTATCACTGTGTGAGGATAATATGAACCTTGCATGCAGTAATACACTCCCACATCCTCAGCCTCCACCTTGCTGATTGTCAGTGTGAAATCTGTCCCTGACCCACTGCCACTGAACCTGTCTGAGACCCCAGTGTCCCGGTTAGAAATCTTATAAATCAGGAGCTTTGGAGGTTGGCCTGGCTTCTGCAGCAACCAATGCAAAAAGATATTTCCTTTACTGGTTGTGATGCTCTCACTAGCCCTGCAGGAGATGGAGGCCGTCTCTCCAGGGGTGACAGGCAGGGACAGTGGAGTCTGAGTCATCACAATATCTCCACTGGATCCTGAAATAAGAAGAGAGAAGTGCAAGGTTATATACAAACATTAGAGGCATATACATAATTTGCTTTTTTAAAATTTATTTCAGTATATTATTATGATAAAAATATTAAGGTTACGTATATTGTCGATGCCCCCCCCATTCCCCTCGAGTCAGAGCTTCAAGCGTGACCATCCCCCAAGTATAATCTGCTTTTGATAATTATTTCAGGCTAAATTTTTTGTCTGTTCTATAGTATGAATCATATTCCTCAAATATACAGTTTTACAAAAGAATGGAGATTTTCAAAGCCCAAAGGAGCCCATAGAATTCCTATATACTGTTGCCCTCTTTTTGTGTCAAAGTCTTCACCAGAGCACAGGACCTTGCTCTTTCTGGAATTTTCCTCACTCTCTCAGATGTAAATCTCACCTGGCCCATCCAGGAGGACAAGACGTGCACATCTAACACATGCACAGAGCAACGTGGCAGGCAGTGGGGCCCCACAGCTCAGTCTCCCACCCCGTCCTCCTTCCTCATCTCCTTCTGTCCTTACCAGGAACCCAGAGCACCAGCAGCCCCAGGAGCTGAGCAAGGAGCCTCATTTTGAGAAGTTGGACTGAGGAGTCCTGGTCAGTCCAGGCCAGGTTAGGCATGAGCTTTATCTCAGACTCACAAGGGAAGGCCCTCCCTAGGGGACAGTATGCAAATGCCCTGGTGGGTGCAGTGGAGTGGAAGGGAACAACAGGTTGGTGGGAGTCTCTCTTGTGAGCAAAGTGACATATATGTCCCCTGTGTTTGGATGAAACTAATACAGAGAAATTCCATGCTGTCTAAGTAGGATAAGGATTTTAATGTTTCTTTCTTGTTTCTTTTCTATTTTTGAGGCCTTTGTTCCATCTGAATGATTCAAGTTACTGTCTGCTATAACACGATTCTGAAGGATTTCTTTTTGAATTAATTTTATAGCATATCTGCTAGTCATGGCATCCTTTCTTTTTTCTTTCAGAAGGATAGTTTAGCTTAAGATAAAATTCCGTTGGGACGGTTTTATTTTGTGAGCACTTTAAATAACTTTCACATTAATATTAATCGTATACTATTAATTTACAATTCATATTTGAATTTCACTTAGGTTTACACAAATGTCTGTTTTTATGTTTTGGGGTAAAATTCCAGGATTCCATACTGCATTTAGTTTCCATGTTTCCTTCATTTCCTCCAACCTGTGATAGTTCTTTAGTTTTTATTTGTTTTTCAATATTTTGAAACTTTTGAGTTATACTGGCCAGTTTTTTGTCAAATGACCCTCTAATCAAATTTATTTGATGTTTTTCACTGATTAGATTCATATTTTTCATTTTTGTCAAGAATATTATGGAAGGGATTTCTCATCTGTGCATGGTATCAGAAGTTATAATATGTAATATCAACATGTCATTTATTTTTTTGTGTTTGTTTCAATGAATTTTAATTTTAGATGTATATTAAAATCCACTCGTTCATTATTTTGTAAACAGCATTGTTTTGCAGAAACTTCCAATTTCGACATGTCATTTATGGTGATGATAAATGAATATGACTAATAAAAACTTTTTATGGGAAATCTTTATCAAAGTTAATCAAGGCAGTTTGATCACTCTCAATATGTGGTTATATGAAGAGTTTGTCAGGAATAGGCTATTCCTGTCTGCTATGGTTTGAATGTTCGTGTCCTTCTGAAATTCATGTTGAGCCTTAAACCCTAAGGTGATGGTAATAGGTGTAGTGCCCCCTGGGTAGTGATTGAATCAGGAGGGCTCTGCCCCATGTGTGAGATTGATGCCCTCATGAACAAGGCTCAGAGCACTGCCTGCTCCTTCCACCTCTTCTGCAACATGAGGACACAACACTCACTTTGCCTCCTTTTTGCCCTCCCTCCTTCCAACGTGTGGGGGCACAGAAACAAAATTTCATCTTGAACTCACAGAGAGCCAAGTTCATTAGACACTGCATCTGCTGGTGTCTTGATCTTAGACCTCCAAGATCCAGACCTCAACACCTGTGAGAAATAAATGTTTTATTGTTGATAAGTTTCCCAGTCTGTGGCATTTATCTGTAGCAGCACAACTGAACAGAGACGTTGTCTGACTCTGACCTTTTTCCCCCAATGTTTATCTTTACCTAAAACCTGTTGCCAAATAGAGAGCATTGAAGAAGTAAATGAAGATCACAGAAATGAATGTGTCTATCATGATCATTTACCATTGGAATGTTGATATCTTGGAGAAAAGAAAAGAGGGCTGGGAGTTATTAAGCAAAGTCACATCCACCATTGCATAGCTGTTGTGAGATCAATTGTTTGCACAAATGAATACCATTATCTACCACTTAGAATGTTTCAGAAGTAGAATGGAGATGTACAGAATTCACTGACTACTTCTGACTTGGGAGGCTAAGATATTGTTGGTGCCATGCTGAGATCCAACCAGTTGGGACATGGTTTCCTAGAATGAGAAATTCTGGTGCCTCAGCTGAAGAATAGGTGACTATATTGACCTGGTATTTATTTCTCAAAATATGATTTTCCAAGTTTTCCTTTAATGATTTGAGTAATCAATGAGAGGATTGTGTGTTGATTGCTATGAAATGATTAAAATTAGAGGAGTAGCCGGTAGAGGAGAAGAATTCAGAGAATTCGCCAGCCAGATATGACATGCTGGATACAGTTTGTCTGATTGTGCTTTGGAAAAAAATATGTAAAGAAAAATACCTTGGGGTCTCGGGATAAAAAAAAAGCTAATCAGAGAAACTTGGAAAATCTTTCCTGAGAACCGATGGGGCACACATGTAACCAACACCATTGTTTTCCACTGTCCTCTTACTCATTGACAGCCTGTGTCCACAGTTCCTGAAGATCTGAGAAGATATATCAGCTCAATCCTGTCTCTGGAGCCAGGAGGTGGCTGTGAGTATGAGCAAATGTAGGTGTGACATACATGTCTATAAGTCCATGGCCAGTGTCCTGGGGAGGATGAGTGGGTGGTGACCTTTCTCCGACCTTCATGAGAACACCTTGATCCCTGTCCTGATGCCCTTTAATC